CCTTTATTTCTCTTGTAAACATCAGGTAAGTATTTTTACCCTCTTTAAAAATTAAGAAAAAAAAAAAGAAAAATGAGGCCTTCACAGGTATGCCTCTGAGCCATGCTCCTTATGTCAAATCCTTTGTGAGAAACTTAGGCACCTCAAGTCCTTCGTGAGAAACTTAGGCGCAATCTATCAAATCCTCGGGTGAGGAACCCCGTATGCTCATTCTTTGAGTCTTTTCAAACCCTACTAGCGAAACCCACCTGACAATCCATCAAATCCTCGGGTGAAGAGTCCCGAGTGTTCATTCATTGAGTCTTTTCAAGCACTATTGGTGAGGATCCACCCGGCAATCCATCAAGTCCTCGGACAAGGAACCCTAGGTGCTCATTCTCTGAGTCTTTTCAAGCCCCGCTGACAGAGAACCTTTAGGCAATCCGATCTGATCTACAGGTATGTACACCTAGGTACGTTTTTCAAAGATTTGTGGTCCAACCTTAAACCACGTTTTTCCAAAAGGTTTGTGGTCCAACCTTAAACCACGCTTCCAAAGGTTTGTGGTCCAACCTTAAACCACGTTTTTCAAAGGTTTGTGGTCCAACCTTAAATCACGTTTTTCCAAAAGGTTTGTGGTCCAACCTTAAACCACGCTTCCAAAGGTTTGTGGTCCAACCTTAAACCACGCTTTCCAAGAGGTTTGTGGTCCAACCTTAAACCACGCTTCCAAAGGTTTGTGGTCCAACCTTAAACCACGTTTTTCAAAGGTTTGTGGCCCAACCTTAAACGACGTTTTTCCAAAAGGTTTGTGGTCCAACCTTAAACCACGCTTCCAAAGGTTTGTGGTCCAACCTTAAACCACTCTTTCAAAAGGTTTGTGGTCCAACCTTAAACCACGTTTTTCCAAAAGGTTTGTGGTCCAACCTTAAACCACATTTTTCTTTAAACTATGCTTTTCGTTTATTTAGATCTTATTTTATTTTCTCTTCTTCCTTGCATTGCATCATCCCATGTCCTCTGTCAACAAAATTTAGGCGTCCCTTATCTTTGAAAGGAACCTCTTCGAGCTCCCCTTCAAAGAAGGGAAGCTGTTGACACCTAAATTTTGCTCAAATCATTTAAGGTTTTATCGCATAAAAATTAGGGTTTAATTTTTAACCCCTAAGCCAAAAATACTTTTATTAAATTCCATGGCATATAGACATTAGGCACATTTGCATTAATATGGCCTATTAGGACATATTCATTAAAAAAAAAAAAGATTTTCGGGCCGGGTTCGTCGGCCCATTCTTTTTCCTTGTTTTTCTTTTACTGCGCGCGGCCCGTGTTCCCCTTTCCATTTTCGCGGGCCGGCCCATTTCCCACGGCCCGGCCGCGCAACTTTGTTCAGCTCCCCTCCCCGGTCAACGTTTGAGTGTACGGGGAGGAACGATGTGAACGCCACGAGAGAACGAGAGACCGAGAGGGCGCGGGGGCCGCCGGCGCGATCTTCGGGTCGGGAGACGGCCGGCCGCGGCAGGCTGGCGGTGGCAGGGCCATGCGCGCCTGCTGGTCGGCTTCGCGCAGCTGGCTGTCCTTAAAGCCAGGGGGGTCCGGAGAGAGATCGGGGAGGGAGAGATCCGAGAGAGAAAAAGCGGAGAGAACGAGAGAGCAAAGCGGAGAGAACGAGAGGGGAAAGGAGAAGAGAACTTGAAGAGCTTCCGGGGAGAATAAACTGGAGGGGGAGCCAAAACCGAGAGAGAATCGAGGGAGCCAAGAACGCAGAGAAAGTTAGAAGAAGAAGAAAAAAACGGAGACCGACTGAGAGTTAAGGGGAATCGGAGAGATCCGACTCTCACCCACTCGCCGGAACGTCGTCTGAGCCACCGCCGAGGCCCCAGTTGTCGCGCCTCTCTTCGGTCAACCCCGAACCAGGTGGGTTTTGCATCCTTTTCTTCCCCTGTTTTTGTCCCCCTTCCCCTGCCTCTGGGGTGCCGGGCGCACCGAGCCTATTCGGTGGTCGCCCGGCCCCGTCGAAGGAAGCTAACTCGTTTTTGACACTCAATGAACCTTTTCCAAACATCACGTGTCAAAAAAAAGACTACGAATCGTGTCGAGATTAGGCATTTAGCTCCCTTTTCAAGTTGCCTAACACCTGTTTGCCAAAATGCTTCAACGAAGTTCTTTGAGTTTATGACCCCGAGTTTGATCTTGCGTTTTCGGGTCGTTTTTGTGCAAACTGAGACCTTATTGTGGCAAAAAACAGTTGTATGGGTCTTCTCACTTCATGTTTGAGTTGAAAACCGCATCAAATCTCACTCTAGAACATTTTTATGAACTCGCACATCACATGTTCGACGAAATGCCTAAATGGAGGTCCGAGTTATTTTTTGCGAATCAGTGCTTGAAACTCGATTTTTATGCTTGATTGGTTCCCATATTGGTCGAATGGTGTCTGCCTTCGTGTTTTCTCTGTGGTTTCTTTCGGTTTTGTGGCATATCTTGCATCGTTCGAGTCGGCCATGGACGTGACCTTCGCCAGAGCTCCATTCTCCTTTGCCCAGTGACACCTGTGGCTCGAAGCCGCCACTGTCAGTTCGCTCTTTTCCATGTCGTGTATGCTTGGTTGTTTGGGTTTTATGTTTTCTTGTGGCCGAAAGTTTGGGGATCGGAGAATGAATCTTGGTTGCCGGTGTCGTTCGGCGGCCGGAGTTAGCCGAAGGTTCGGCGGATGGGGGGGTCGATGGTGAGAGCGTGAGCCCAGTGTAGGTAGTCGGCGTTGGCGGCCCGCGTCGTCGGTCGGAGGCCCAAAAGCGTTCTTGGTGAGGTCTCGATTGAAGAATAGGAGTTCTCGGTGAAGAACAGTAGGAAGTAGGGAAACTTTCTGGGCAGGAAGGTCACGCGCAGGAGGGGATGAAGAAGAAAGAAGAATAATAAAAAAGGAAAAAAGAAACAAAAGAAAAAGACAAAAGAAAAAAGGAAAATCAAAAGAATGGAATAAAAAAATAGAAAAGGAGCGGGGGGATCCCGGGTCTTGTGTCGGGCGGATCGGGTCAGGGGACCTGGTCCGGAATTATTATATTATTAAAAATATTAAAACATTAAAAAAATTAAAAATTCAAAAAGAATATTAAAATATTAAAAAATATTAAAAATTCCAAAAAAACTCGAAAATGTTTAAAAATCCAAAAAATGTTAAAAAGTCTAAAAAACATTAAAAAAACATTTAAAAATTCAGAAAATTTGAAAAATATTAAAAAATTCAAAAAAAATTCCAAAAAAAGAAATCAGAAAATTAGGAGATGTTCAGAAATCAGTTTTGGGTTTAATTTCACTAGATTTTAGGTTAAAAAAAACTCAAAAAAATGAAAAAATGAGAAAAAAACCCTCTGAAAATTTCTCAAAAATCGGATAAGCCATGAGGGCTTTACTTTAGGGCTTTTGATTGCCTTTTCTTTTTTAGAGACGATGCTAGGTCGCTGGTTGCTTGTTTTCTTTGTGATTATTTGGTTGCGCACTTTTAATTTATTGGTTGTTATTTTCTATTTTTAGCATGGTTAGACGGAATCTTAGCTTTTTCGATAGGCTGCCTGGTACGTTAATTCGCAAGTAATCAAGTTTAGGTACCGAAAGGGCACTAGTAGATCGCTAGTGTAATCAAGTTCTCGTACCCATTGAATCTCTGGTTCGTAGAAGTGAAGCATCTCTCCCGTGTTTCACTTGGGTGTCTAATCGACCCACCAAAAACTGATTAGTGGCGACTCCTAGGTGAAATTGATTTCCATGTTAATAACTTCAACTTAAGTCGCGAACTGGTATGAGCTTGGGAGAGCTCGAGCTAGGTTTAACTTAGTAATCCATTAGCCAATCCACCTTAGGCGGCGGGGCCGGTTCGAGGAGGTCGCGACAGGCCGCTGGGCGAAATAAACTTGGGGCAGAACCTAACTTAAATACCAGGTCAGAATGTTCAACCAAAAAGTTTGAGCTATACTACATGTGTCTTCTACGAACAAGGGCCGCACGTGCGAGATCAAGTTGGGGGTGGAAATCTCACTTTGAAATCATGTTAAAAGCCCTTTGCCAAAAAAAAAATACCAAACATTACTTGGGCATAGTAACTTTACAAATAATTTTTTACTAAATCCAAATTGTATTTTCCCAATGGGCTTTAAGTTAAAGGCATTTGCATTTTTCGAAAAACCATTTGCAAAGCCGAAACAAATGAGGCCATTGATCGTTTGGAATCGGAGGACGAGTCTATAATTTATTTTCGGGAAAATGACATAAACAGTCCCTGAACTTTGGCCTAATGTACAATTTGGTCTATGAACTTTTAATTTGTTCAATATAATCCCTGAACTTTAGCCTAATATTAAATGTGATCCCTGAATTTTTAATTTGTTCGATATGATCCTCGAACTTTTGGTACCTGTTCAATTTAGTCCCTGAACTATATGAAAATGTTCAACGTAGTCTATAAACTTGAATTAATAGAAGAATTACGTTGAACATTTTCATATCATTGAGAGACTAAATTGAACATGTATCGAAAGTTCAGGCACCACATCGAACAAATTAAAAGTTGAGAGATCATATTGAACATTAGGCTAAAGTTGAGGGATTACATTGAACAAATTAAAAATTCATTGACCAAATTACACATGAAGCTAAAGTTCATGAACCGTTTGTGTCATTATCTCGTCTGGCAAATTTATTACCCTAGCCCAGAAGGGCAGTCCATTTCCGGCAAGAAATCCGAACCCATGTCCCCGCCGTCAATGTCACGGCGGGCAGGGACAAAGCTCCCCGTTTCCGACCGACCTTTCAAACGCAAACGGCGGGCATCTTCCCCTGCATTGCATAGAGTAGCTAGTCAAGATCAGTCCATCTCGCAGGTGGGGAAAACAGTGCACATGACACGTGAGGTTTTCGCTTTTCATTCTCCGAACCTACTTTCTCGACGTTCAGCTGTCCCAACGAAGCGAAGCACCCCCCCCCGTTGACTTTGACTGTCCCCCTCCTCCCTGCCTTCTTCACCTTCTCTTCAAATCGCTGGTCCTCACCGGAAGATTTGGTGGCACCGCCCCTCGAAACAGCCGGTGGAGCGAAGCCTCTTTCCCGCTTGGGAATTCTTGTACCTACTTCTCAAGGACGGAACCTTCGCTCCGAACCCATTAAAGAAACGCTCGCCTTCTTTTCTTGGGAATTGCGGGTCTCGGTCGTCTGAAGAGATGAGTTACAGGGAAGATAGCGACGATGGCGGCAGCGAGAGGGACCTCCGGAAGCCGCTGCTCAACACCGGGAACTGGTACAGGATGAGCTCGCGGCAGTCCACGACGGCGAACTTGGGCTCGTCGGCGCAGATCATCCGCGACGGCTCCGTCTCCGTCATCCTCTGCGTCCTCATCGTCGCGCTGGGCCCTATCCAGTTTGGGTTCACGGTGAGCGCCCTTCTTCTTCGCGGAATCGCGGGCGTTGGTGGCCGGATCAATGTCGTTCATTGCACTGTTTAAACGGGTTTATTAACTGGGCCAGCTCTTAGAAGTATGCGCGATGAGATCGCAGGAAACAAAAATATCAACTTTTCGAAAGTTGGCGAAGTGGGTGCGCAAGCGCGCACGCGCGTGTCGCTTGCATAATTAGCTGCCAACGACTGTGAGTGACATTCGTTTCTCTGTTTATTCTCAGTGTGGGTATTCGTCCCCGACGCAGGAGGACATTATCAGCGACCTAAGTCTCTCGCTTTCGGAGGTGTCACTTGTTCTTCGTCAACTTTTGGACTCTTGACCATGTCGTGTTCGCGGCTGCGGTGACTTTTGCTCTTTGACTCTACTGATTGGGCGTCTTTCTTTGCAACAGTTCTCCGTGTTTGGCTCCTTGGCTAACGTTGGTGCTATGGTCGGGGCCATTGCGAGCGGCCAGATTGCAGAGTATATTGGCCGAAAAGGGGTAAATAAGGGTGTTTGATATGGTTAAATTCATTGGCAAGCAGAGTTCAGTTAATAGTTTAACCATAGGAGCTGCTGTGGATGTGATCATAGACTTTTAGTTAGTGCTTTCATAGATTATCAAGTTGAAAAAGATTTGGGTATTTACTTTTAAATGTTGTTATTGCCTTATCCACAAAGGAAAATGTCAGGACAGCAAATGGTAAAAGTGCAAACTAAAAGTTACCTTACTTTTGTTTCATTTGCTGGTATTGCATCGTTGGCGGCTAGTGGCTAAATATGTTTGTTCCTGAAGACTGCTTCTGTGTTGAATTGCAGTCGCTGATGATTGCTGCAATCCCCAATGTAATTGGATGGTTCATCATCTCTTTTTCCAAAGTGAGCTTTTTCGCCCACCAACACATGTAGTTGTGCTTTAGTACTACAGATTTGTCACATTCTAAGGTTTTCTTTTAGTAGGATGTTTCATTTTTATACCTGGGAAGGTTGTTGGAGGGATTTGGCGTGGGCGTCATATCCTATACGGTAACCTTGATAAGGCTCTTAATGATTCCAATGGATTTCCTGTGAACTTTATCCCTGAACCAAGATTTGTCGCTTTTAGGTGCCTGTATATATTGCGGAGATATCACCTCAAGACATGAGAGGAAGTCTTGGATCTGTGAATCAGGTTAATAGTCAGCTTATCTTGCTGTTTCTTGAATGTCTTCATTAGAAGTCATACTATAAATTCTGTGATTTTAGCGCGGCAGTGCTTTCAGTTATCTTGGCCAAATGCTTCTTTCTCCAGTGTCCACTGTTTCTTCTTTCACATGTTCATGTATCTTTACTTTAGATCTACCGGTGGACATCAGTACAAGTGCCACAGATCATACATAGATGTAGGAGAAGAAACTAGACAGATCTTTCCTCTCGTCTCTATTCCTTATCCAGTCAGTTGTGCATAAATTACCCCAATGGTAATATGACGAGTATGTTAATTTCTTTAAGATTTCGAGTTGTGCAGCTCTCAGTCACTATCGGAATTCTGCTGGCTTATGTGTTGGGAATGTTTGTCAACTGGAGAGTGCTAGCAATTTTAGGTAAGCATATCTAAAGGAAGGAAAGAGCAAGCATCGATAACTAACTTGTTTAATAAGTAGCAAGACTGTATGCTGATCAACTTGAATAGCATTAGGAGGGAAATCTCAATATACTTAGTATTGTTCTTATCAGATTAGAATTACTTTCAGTTAAAGACACTCCATTGATTAAGTTTGCTAAGAATACCTTCTGAGTGGTTACCATCACCAATGATCTAACTGTCTATATAACTGCTTTCAAGACAGATGAATCCTCTCAGTCTGTCACTAATCAAATAACGGAACAATTTTTTTTTCCCTGCGAAGTCAATTAACAATTTATTACACTCCAAGCAATGTGAAACAGAGCGATTTTTTTTTTTTTTTTGCAGGAGCTTTGCCTTGCATGGTGTTGATCCCTGGCTTATTTTTCATACCAGAGTCTCCTAGGTGGCTGGTACAGATATTGCATCTGTTTACGTGCTCAAAGTTCAGAATTGTCTTTCAGCTGACATAAAGTTTCCTATTATATATTGGGAATTTTCTAAATCACTGCCTTTGCTGATGGTGGCAAAATTTGCAGGCCAAAATGGGGTTGACAGATGAATTTGAAGCCTCTTTACAAGTTTTACGGGGTTTCGATGCTGATATTTCCTCTGAAGTGAACGAAATTAAGGTATTGTATAATGCTGATATAGTCAATTCCTTGTTAGTGATTCCAATATTCCACTGCATCTGCCATTTGGATTAGATGTTCTTGATGGAAGCATCATTTATTAATTTGTAATTTCCACTTATAGCGTTAGGACTTCTGATGATTACTTTCTTCAGAAATCTGTTGCATCGTCAACCAAAAGAACCACAATCAGGTTTGCCAATCTCAAGATGAAGAGATATTGGTTTCCTCTAATGGTACATTACTCTCTGATTTTGATCAACTGCATTGATCTTGTGTACTATCTCTAAAGCTTTATTCATAAGATATTGGATCATTGTGCTCCAGGTTGGAATTGGATTGCTTGTGCTTCAGCAACTCACTGGCATCAATGGCGTCTTATTCTATTCCACCAAGATTTTTGAGAGCGCTGGTTAGGACATTGACTCTTGACTTCTGAAATTTCACCACTCCTGTCTTGGCTTAAAGATCTGAATCTACTGCCTTTAAGTAAACGGAGATCTCATTATACCCTTCAGACAAAATAATGGCGTAATATGTCCATTCCTGTATATAATTGACATATGATACTCTTTGATATCCCAACTTTGGCTTTTTTTTTTTTTTTTGAAAAAGAAGTAGAAAACATACCACAGAATGCCATCGTAGAACTTAAAGCTTTGACCTGGGCCGAGTGCCCTCTGATGCAGTTAATCGAGTGGTTAATGCGAATGAGAACTACAAAATAAAGAAAGTATATATTGTTGATAGCAAGCTTCACATAGTTTAGGTCATGTAGAATAAGTGGTATGCTGCCCAATCAGTATGAGCACTTGCAATAAACAAAGTTTCTTTGACCAAGAAGAAGGGATATTTTGTTGATTTGTATGGAACTTATTCTCTAGATATCTCGATTTGCCAGTCACAGACCTAAAATAGATGTTTGCTAGATAATTTGATCCTCGCACCAAAAAATATTTCATAGAGATCTTTCTCCAGAAGCTTGATGGGAGAGGACAATGGATAATTGGGAACCTCTAAGCTTAATTGTTTGTAACATGTTGCATAATGATTGGCACATTCATCCGCAGTGAAAGCTCAGTTATGAAGCACAGAGAGAGCAAAAAGGCTAATGGTTGAATTGTTTCTTCATGTACACGTAGATCCAAAATCATTCTTCCAAGCATCTAACAAAAAACAGGTAGAGTTGTTTTTGCATAGGTGTTGCAACACCCCAAGTCTTATATTGAAAGGAGAGGACCTGTGAAGTGATTCATAAGGATGACCCATCCCAAACAACCACCACCTTGAGGGGTACATACGAATAGTCATTTTGAGGGTTTGGCCCACAAGACAGGATTATTACAGATCATGACATCAATGCTTTGTAGGAGAGTTCATAGCAAACGAAATATAGCGGTTGGGAAAAGTCTATGTGAAGTGAATTATAATTGAGACCTATTCCCAAATAATTACTACTTTAGTGGGCACATCTGAGTACTCCTTTTCAGGTCTTGACATACGTGGGAGGGGTCTGGTCATTATAGATAATAAAGCTGCAGAGGCTAACAAGTACGCTGAATCTAGAAACTGACTGATGCTATGAGAAGAGTAGTCATGAGCTTTAAATCCTGCTCCAGGATTTAAGCCAGACAGGGCCTTGATGATGCAACGATTATCAATATTTTATTTCCATTTTTTTATTTTTCAACGCAAGTCTTGCTGGTCTAGGTTAATGGTCTCATTACCGCCCAAAAAGAAAGGAAAAAAAAAAGAATATCCTTTTTTGCAAGAATCTAAGACACTCAGTGAATTTGGTAGGAGTTTCTTCAAGCAATGCTGCAACAGTTGGCCTCGGGGCAATCCAGGTATTATATGAAGCGCATCTCTCAGGCTTTTCATGCGGATTGTCTATCATGTGAACTGATGTGATTTGAAGCTTCGCACGACATGCGAAAGATGTGGTATTGTTCTCTGACCGTCTCTCTTTAAATGACTTAGGTTGTTGCCACCGGAGTAGCTGTATGGCTGATGGACAGAGCCGGTCGCAGGCTGCTTCTTATTGTAAGTATGATAATACTTTCCTGTCAAGTTTTGTCTAGCTACAAAGCAGCCTAATCTGAAGTATATTTCTTACAGATTTCGTCTTCTGGGATGGCTATTAGCCTTCTTATCGTTTCAGTTGCCTTCTATCTAGAGGTTTGTAAAATTGCAGTCCTCTCATGTCATGCTTTCTAATAGAGTTTTCATGTGATGTTATGTTCTGGGAAACTAAAGGCACTACGAACTCTCTCTGTTCTTTGCTATCTACAGGATATTGTATCAGAAGATTCCCGTGTGTATAGCATGTTGGGAATAATGTCACTGGTTGGGCTTGTGGTAAGACTTTGCTCTTTTTGTGATTTTCTGCAGCTCTATTGGTATAATTGGCACGTCTTAAAATATTCACTTATGATTTTTCCAGGTTCTTATGATTGCATACTCTCTAGGGGTGGGAGCAATTCCTTGGCTTATAATGTCTGAGGTATGTCGAGCGAAGGTTTTTCCTTTATGTGTCAGGGGTAGAAGCTATGGCTTGCTGGATTAATTGGATACTTCACTAAAATATGTTTTGCCATCCTCTTCTCATCTTTTCACTAATTTGTCGGTCTATCCCCATAAGTTTTGTGTGATAATTTATAGCAAATATGCCAGGGAGAGGGGGCAAAAAAGAACAGATAAAGAAGGAAATGACGAAAGAAACATTGACAAAGAAGGAAATGACCAAACTTCTTTGTGCTCTTGGAGGATGTCAAAAGTGGATATATTAATTCTTAGTATAAATTTAATCTAATCTAATCAGACTCTTGTTTTGTTGGACCAAATTGCATATTGTAGATACTTCCCGTGGAAATTAAGGGTCTCGCTGGGAGCGTAGCAACATTAGCAAATTGGTTCTTTTCCTGGGCAATCACGATGAGCGAGAACTTGCTGTTGAATTGGAGCACGGGAGGTACGTCTCAACTATTATAATCCAATTGCTCCATATCGTACGTACATGAATGGGTATTCGTGTGTATTTAGTTCTGAGTTGTGTTCCCACATTCTTAACAGGGACTTTCAGTATCTTCACCTTGACAACTGCTCTTACGGTTGCTTTCGTGACGTTTCTTGTTCCCGAGACGAAGGGAAGAACACTGGAAGAGATTCAGTCCTCGTTTAGATGATCGCTTTTGCAAAAGCTTTTTCACTTTCTCGTGGCATCTATGCCTTTCGTAGTACGTTTAGTTTTATGGTTTTCCCTTTCGGAGTTGCTGAGGAAGAAAACTTGTGATAAAGAAAATCGAAATCGGAGAAAAAGTAACATATTTTACGCCTCTTCTCTTCCATTTCATTTATCTTGTTCACAAACATTGCACTGAGGCTAGAGAGCAGAAAAAACAATGAAAGCACAAAAGCGGAGTCGAACTCATTTGTCGGCTTCACTTTGATGGACTGAAGCAAGGAACCGCTTCAAGCACCGGTTGTACACGCAGGGCCTCTCAAGGTGAGTCAAGTGTCCTGCCTTCTTGATGCCCTCCACCGTTGCATTCTCTCCTAGCTGTCTGCAATTTTGTCGAAAATAAACTGTCAGTGAGGTTCATTTGGTTGACCCAACGGGGACAGCATATAATGATCTGGAGTGATCATATGATGTTTTTCACTCATTGTATTACTTAGTCGATTCAATTTGAAGGTGATTCATGCTTAAATATCATCAGGTGGAATCATTCTATGACCGACATGATGAAACATTGCTCGTCACACCATTAGATATGTTCAACTCATTGAGCGTCGTTCTCTAGGTTTCTTGCGCATGCGCCACATAATTCTCGAGCTGAGATCGGAGGACAGTATAGTGAACTTGGGTTATGGACAACTGTTCCTTTGTTTTCTTTTTCCCGGTAGAAGTATGATTCGAGGGTACATACCCTTTCATGTTCTGAGCCAGCTCCAGTTTAAAGATCTGATCTTTTTCACCCCAGAGGAGATGTATCCTCTGCAAAATTTATGCAAAACTGGAGATGGTCAGTGTCTCAGTTCTATGGATGAATGAGATTCATGGATTCATCCAATGAAAACAGAGACATGTGAAGATCAAAATGATAATTACCTGGGTGTAGTTAGGGATGGAGGCATCCTTGTTGCTGATGACAAGAGCTTCCAATAGCTCAGCTCTCTCTTTCCTGTTTGTGAACATCACCTGTTGTTTGTACATTGGAAAAAAGCTAGTTGGGTAATAAACAGTGGCTTTCAGTTCTTGTTCAGAGATGTAGTTAAGTATCATTTCAAAGTCTTTTCTAAGAGGTTCAAGTAAGCCTCCCATGCATTTTGATGTTTTGGGATCATCTTGTCGGTGCGACCCGGTCCGACAGCACGGTTCGTCACGAGCTAGAAAACACGAACCCCATGATGCAAAAATTATAATTACGGAGTACCCAAATCGGGATTCCTCGTATTATTTAATAGATCAAGTTTCTAAAGCGGTCTTAATATCTCGGGGCATTATTGTTATCATTATCATTATCATTAATTTTTCGTCTAAGGGGCTCAGGCAAAGGGGAGCAGTGTCTCGTCAAGACAACAAAGGAAAATCGTGGCTACCCAATGACTTGTTCTAATACCATTTGCACGCCTAAGTTATCGTACTAAAAGATTGTCAACTGACGGTAACAAGATAGGTGTAGTAGTTGGAAGTCCTTTTCGAAACATTCAAGTGGGAGGATGTCGTGTCAATCAATTTTCAACGGTTCTGCGTGCACACGACATCGTCCACAAGCTGTTGGAAGTTGGACATTAACGGGGCAACCCGATTGCAATCATCGATGTTACCTGGATGCGTCGTAAATGGAGCGACATCATAAAATAGAGAATAGCATGAAAATATGGTACGAAATATAGAAAAAGATTGAACTCTCTCCTTCGGGCAAGTACTTGAAAGAACGACACTTAGTGATGAATCCGTTCGCTTTACACAGGATTCATACCTTAATTAACTAATGAGGGAGAGGTATATAATGTGAATAGATATGGTTGCATAAATACTGAGTTTTTATATTGAACAATATATCCGAAAATTCAAATGTAGGTTTGGTTTTTAATGGCTAAGGGTAATGACCACAATTGTTACCTCGAGGTAGTCCTTGTGAAACCGGTCGGGGAACCAAATCTTCCGGTACATAGCGACCGACTGAAGCGCCTTCAGGCCCTTCACGGACGTCGGCATCAGGAGCTCCGACGAAGAGGAGAACCCGAGCCTCTTTAGCGTCTCGCCGCTGATCGAATCCGTCATGGCCGGTGTCGACCCCGATATCACCATGGCTCGGACCATCTCCGGGTACATCTCCGCCATCTTGAACGCCACCATCCCACCGTAGCTAAACCCCACCAACGTGCACGTCTCAACGCCGAGCTTCCTCAGCCCCTTCACCAAACACTCGGCCTGAAAATTGGTCGGAGAAGAAAAGAGAAAGATTATTTTGGAAACTAAAGTCAGATTTTATGTGTCGACTCGGATTTGAACTTGTTAATGAAACTGAACCGCCAAAGTTGCTAGGCTGATAATGTAATCCAGATGATATCTGCATTACAAACCTTGTGTATGAAAGAATTTTCTTTTTTTCATTAAGATGAGTGTCTACTTTAGGTTGAAATCATTAAATTTGACCGACTCCTCAAAAGCCTAAGTAAACTACCGAAATTTTTATGTATTTAGGAAAACACTAATCTCTTAACAAAAACTATAATATTGGATACAACAGGAATTTCACACACTCAAGTCACTTGAACTGAATGATGTCCATATTTAGCTGCGTGCAATTTGAAGTGCAGATGGCTATGCATAATCTTGCTCCTCCTTGGAGCTAGCTCAACCCTACCTGGAACGCTGGTGACCGGTCACTCTTGTCGGTGACCGACTCGCCGAAGAATATGAGGTCAGGGATGTAAACGGCGTACTTCTTCGTCAACGGGCCGACCTGGAACTGCCACGTCACGATGCCCTCGGCGGCGAAGCCATGGATGAGGACGACGGCGGGCTTCGTGGGGTTGACAAGAACGGTTTCGTCCTTGCTCTTGGCCTTCTTGTCGGGCTTCCTGATGGTCTCGCGCGGCACCCAGAAGTTCATGACGGTGCCGGGCTCGATCTCCGCCGTGTAGGGCCGGATCCCTGCCCTCTTCATGAGGCCATGCAAGAGTGGCTTCTGGAGCTCCACGAAGTTCACCATCTCTCTCTCCCTCTCTGTGTCTGATGCGGATGTGTGTGTCTCCCCTTGTTCTTGCGAGAGAGAGAGAGAGTACTAATAACGAGACGGATGAAGAAGAGAGAGATTTTTAAACCGAGAAGACGGTGGGGTTTGGTGTTGGGTTGCTGTCGAATGTTTAATCGATTGTTGGGGGTCGAACGCGAAATAGGATCAAGAAGTTTGCATGCAAAACTACACAATCTTGGAAGCTTTCTCCCAAGATCTTCGATACTGTAAATAAATGAGGCAGGGCCACGAGCAAAACGAGACAGCAAGCTAAAAGATTTGATGGGGGATGTGATTTCTTGCACGGTATCGATTCGTTCAGATCGTGGGTGTGGGTTGTGATTGTGAACAATAACAAGAAATTGAAACGGTTTACCAGAAATTTTGTTTACTCATAAAGACAAAAAAGAAAGTTTGCTGTTTGAATGGACAAGCCCAAAGGTTGTTTGGTTTTGGATCAACTGCCACTGCCTACTCTTTTTGGGACGAAAGTCTGTTGGACCAGCGCTTAGAGTGACTCAAAGGGTCAGGACAATCCCCCCACCACATGGCTTTGTCAGATTTGTTATGATATCTGACGATGAATAGGGCAAATACTCGGACTCCGATTTCAAGTGAATCACAATTGTTGATCTTTTGGGACCGCTAAGCAGCGCTCGCGTTGAATCCACGATATCAATAACTATGATTTGTTCGATCCATTGGATTTGGGTCCAAACAAGTTTCCCTGATAGAGGCCACGAAGCTATGTATATAGATAATGATGTGGGTTGTCCCGGAAGAACTCCGAAGAAATGTTTGAATCTTAACAGGTTTGCAAGAAGAACTTTTGATGGTTCTGAACTTCTTTTCAATGTGATCTTCAAACCTTTTCTTTGTTTCAGTATGGTTTTCGAACTTTCAAAGATTCACTCAATATAGTCGTTTCATTGCAAAGTCTACGAGCGCTAGGTGACATAACCATAATTTCTATTAACTTGACGTTAGATGTGCCATGTGGCTTATCTAGCTTTCATATCGTATATCCCTTTCTCTCTCCCATTATTTTGGCCCCAGAAGAAAGGAAAAGGAAGAGGAAAGGCAAAAAGATTTGTTGATGTGGAAAATGACGTGACAATTCATATCATTATTTCGGTCCAAAAAATAACAATATGACAGTCTACGCCACAAAAAAATGCATGCAATACGGCAATATACCTAATCGAAGGATTACATCAAGCGAATCTTTGAAACTTCAGAGATTACATTAAATAAAAAACAGTTCAAAGACCATATTAAGCATTAAGAAAAGTTCGGAGATCAATCGTATCATTTTTAATTATATATATTTTTCTTGTGATTACAAATAACACCCAATCCAAGAACTTAAGCTATAATACTAAAAAGAAAATTCACGGGGGTATTACATTATTCTTAAAGATGAGTCCTAATGATGGCAAAAACCTTACTTAATCTACCTACATGTTGTTAGAGGTGTTTTAATGCGTTTGGGTTTGGTGCGAATTGACACAAGTCTGGATTGTAAAATTGAAGATTTTGGCGACACTTATAGCATCGATTCAGAAACAGGACTCTGATGGGATACGCAAGTGTGTATAGCGGCCAATTTAACCCTTTGAAGATAAAGTTTGCATTCAATTGAATGAATGGATCAAGAAAACTACTAATGTTCGGTTCAATGCCGAAAGGTTTAGGAACATACTAGTATATGTGGTTAGGAGCACAGCACACATGCGGCTCCCCACATATCGGTCCGTGTTTGAGTTTCGCATCCAGACTTCTATTCGAGTCTCACTTATTAGATGATGATTTCAAGTATTCGGGTCTTGTAGATCTGTATGAGTGGAAGTTCCCCCCTATAATATAAATACAAAACTTGGCTTATTCATTTAATTATCTTTTACATCGTTTGGAGTGCAGCATGGATCGACGATGGACTAGTCTCCCGCCGGAGCCGTAGTCATTTTACTCTATCACATCGCATCGCATACTCACACGCTAAATAAGAGATATGTACATGCACAAACAACACTTGATATCTAGGGTTTCCGATCATACAAACGCCCACTGATTATGTGATGGTTAAGTTCACCTGTCATGTCTTGTTATAAAGTGAGCGGTTGAGCGGATAAACGTACGTCCTCCGCAACCTCTGGCACTTCCAGGACATTATAAATGCTGTTGGGCCTTCTTTACGTCCCTCTCCCAATTTAATTAGCTTGAAAGCCACCTCCATTGCTGCCTGTTTTAGCCCCACATTTCCCACTATTGATTTGGGTTGGTTGTACGAGATTAACTTGCGATGTTCTAATGTTCTTTGGCTCTCTCCCCCAAAGCCCTGGATCGAGAGGTTGGTGTTCATACACCGTGTTCGTGTGTAATGGCCAATAAAAAAAAATTTAGAACTGAATTGACAAAAAAATAAATAAATAAGATTTAAAACTGAATTGACATAATTACAATAAATTTAGGACTTTTTTGATAATTTTCTCTCTTGAGTGATGATGCATATAATATTGGGCAATCGAGCATAAAGTTAACTGTCTGTTGGTCATGTCAAAAGTCATTATTACATAGAGACATGGGATATTCATTGAACAGGTACTTTTTCATTAGTATGTCGACCGAATTATGACCTTACAAGTAACAAACTTAGTTTTTCACATTCATGGATAAAATCACGCGTCGCTTTTTTGTCTTGTCATTGAAAGTGAAGGAAAATCAATCTTAATTAATCAACAATCTACCCTATTTCGATCATGAGTTAGGTAAAATTCAAATAGGGTTTATTTGCCTGTCACGTTAAGAGACACGGTGAGTCGATGCAAATTTCGGTAGTGCACGGGATAATATTGAACAAAATGTCATATTCACACCCTTGTGCGTAGTCAGAGTGCCTCACTCACTCTCACGTCAAACGTCAAAAAACATTTATTTGAAGAGGTTTAGTTTGCATGAATTTGAGATTTCGCCAAAGATTTAAGTATTGGAACTAATTACAATTAGGGACCAAGCTATGAGGAAGGAAAATTTAGGAGTCTCAAGATATTCCAACGAACCTCCTACTCCATTTCCAATACGATGCAGAGTGCTGTCGAATTATACTGTCAATTGATTTAAAGGTTTAAGCTGTTGGATAAACGCTTCGATGGTTAAATATTCACATGCTTGCTCAGCAAACTATATGTCATGTTCAAATGTGATGTAAGAGAAGGGAAAAAAAAAAAATCCTGCCGGCAAATAAAAAAACCACAGTCAGCAGACGAGCCATTTGACTATGGGCTCAATCCCCATTGTGGGCAGGCCTGGTTAGCTTTGGTGGCTCATACGGCCTAGCAACACTTGCTCAACATTCAAATGTAACAAAAGAAATGCCGAGAGTTTAACTTATTAATATCGACTCACGGGGCGAAGTCCGACACATTATTTAACAAATCGATTTCGAAATCTTAGTAAATCCGGCATCGCTAGATAAAATTTTTTGCTCGAGCTATTTGAGGAAAAAATCCCGATTCGAATCGAGATCTACTTCTTGTCCAAAAGTTTCGATCGATTAGTTGGCTTAGAGATTGATGACACGGGCTTTGGAATTAGGTAGAGTCGCTCATTAGCGATTAGATCAATGCGATGCCTAAGATTGGATACGAGCCGTCAATAATTGTCAATCGGGCTCTCGCGACACGTGGCGCGTTTCTATGGAGAGTTGGGTTTTCCATTTTTGCCAAGGAAGGGCCAACATAAGCTGTTACGTTGACCGGGGGGGTTTGCTAGAGTTCTGTTCGCCTTCTCAAACCGTATGCCCGTATTTAAATTCGAAATTAAATTGCGTCCGTGAATTTGCGGAGTTAGGTTTGGGCATCTCAACATCCGAAGGTATGTCCACCCAATGCCTGCTTTTTTTTTGGGGTCAGCGACCTGCTCACGTAATTCACAAGTTTTCAATGCGTTCATATGTGCACGTTTAGAAAAGGACGCGAATTCAATGTGCAATATGGCCCACGAACTTTTAATTTGTTTAATGCGGTCCATGAATTTTAGCTCAATGTGCAATTTCGTCCCTAGACTTTTCGTTTATTCGATATGATCCCTGGAATTTTAATTTGTTCGATGTAGTTCATGGACTTTTGGTACATGTTCAATATAGTGCTTGAACTAAATGAAAATGTACAATATTTGTCCTTCATTTCATTCAAGTTCAGGGACAATATTGAACATTTTCATATAGTCGAGGGACTAGATTGAACATGTACCAAAAGTTCAAGAATCGCATTTCACATTGAGCTAAAAATTTAGGGACCATATTACACATTTAGCCAAAGTTTAGAGACCATTTGTGTAGTTATCCCTTTCCAATGCGGTCACGCAAGGCTACGAGCTACGTGCAAATTTAGAAAAATTTGGTTCGATAGTTTTATGAGAATACGAATGTGCTTACATCTAGGACCAGATCTTCGGGCAGCCTCAGCAAGGCTAATTAGAGCTAGGGCTCTCTACTGATCGCCTCATTTGTTACAATGGGCAAGCCTATAAATCAAGTTAGGCTCGACGTCGAGTCGAGTTCCGACCCGGTCCGAGCCCGCTCGACGATGATGATCATCGCTCGCCCCCCCCTATCCCTATCTTCAAATCAACTAAAAGATTGATTTCCTTGGCGTCCTTGGAAGACCCAAACGAATCATGACAACGCCTAGGAAACAACATAGGCAAAATCCATGGGCAATCCACGTATATGGTCGTGCAATCTAATTGATGATGGCGGTGAAGATTGACGCGAGGGAGAGGAGGAAAAAAAGTCAAATGATTCCCACGACTCGATTGTTCCTCGCGAAATAATAGCACCTGGGAAAGACGCGACCAAAACCATGTGTGGCAAGATCGTCTGGAATTGCTACAAGATCCCCGAACAGCCCCGAACAAAGATTGACATGATGATGACATTCCGAGGCTCCAAGCCCCCTTCCCTTCCCTTCCTCCCTCCCGTTCCACGTGTCGCCGTCGCGTCATCGATCAGCTCGCCGTGACGAACGGTGGTTTACCCGAGTGCGGCCATTGTTGGGCGACCTAAGACGATCTTTAAGGCCAGGTTAGATTATCGAGAAACGAAGTACAGATCCGTGCAAGTATTCTGCTCAGTTCTTTCAATTTGTAACTTGCAAAATTGAAAATATACTGCTAATCACGCGATTTCGTGATTAAGCCGCGTGGCATCGGACTTTCGATTCGTAGCGTAATTTTTTAGATATATGATGGTTAAGTGTAGAAAATGCCTCGAGGGCTCTAATTAGCTGTATTGAAAAGGCAAGAGAGGTGATTTGGAAAGGTAATTGTCAATGCAATTGAATTATGTTATGTGCAACAGGAATAGCATTTTCTCAGCGTGCGTTATTAAAGGCGTATTTTCGACACATTGATACATGTACTTTCTCTCGGTACA